GAAGCTGGGAGTTGGACCTCCTGGGAGGAGAACCAGCCTTTGTGGACCTCCACTACAGTACTTAGAGCGACCCCAGAAAGAGAGACTATTCAACCACTTCGGAGTATTTTATGCCTTAAACATCCACAGAAGAGTCACCCTAAGGCGGAATCACCTTGAAGGGCCATAATTTAATTCAGTTTAATTAGTACATAATACAATTTGCTGAACTCTCTTTGACCTATGGCATTGCAGAGCTTCAGCCAGTCCTATCTAATTAAGAGAAAATCAACTCTGACCAGGTATCAGGAACATTTAACTGTCACTACCAAACACTGTTGCTCAAAGTACTGCTGCAGCCACATAACTCCACTTCTGAGGAAAAAGAAAAACAGATAGCAGCCAGCCTAAAAAGACCTGCCTCTGTAAATAACGCATTCAGCACAACTCCTAAAACAGGCCTGGCTCAAAAGCAAGATGCAGTGAGTTCAAAGAGCTGCCTCAGAGGCCGTATGCTTTAAAGCATAAAAACAGGTCTAATACAGAAACAAGTGGTTAGACGGATTAGCCATAGGCCTTACATTGCATGCCCTGCACAGCATTCCATTCAGAATTCTTAGTAATGACTACAAAATAGGTGGAAAGACACACACTTATCAATGAAGACCTCACGTTTCAAGGGTGACATCTGCTTTCAGACTTAAGAAATGTTTGCTTTAGTAGTAGTACAGAAGATAGGGAAACGAAATGGATCTCTGCCACAAATACAGATGTCATAAGGAGGAGGGGCAAGGTTTAAGTGCAAGCATAACATAAAAGTTTTAAGCCTCTGCTTCATTTTTTAAAAACACTTGAGTAAAAAGTAACTTCCAGATTCAGCTGTCTTCTGCCAAATAAACATACCCATCTTAATTTTGTTGTTTAATAGGGGCAAAAAATAGTCAGTCATGAAGTCTGCCTTGGATTGTTGTTTAATAGGGGCAAAAAATAGTCATGAAGTCTGCCTTGGATTCTTTTTAAGGACAAAGGCAGGATAAAAATATGTTAAATAAATAAGGCCTTAAATGTTATCCTTTTCCTAAACAGTATCTGGGGAATTTGTTTCAGTGCTGGCAGTTAAGGATGTTAAATCTCCTCTGAGCACACTCAGTTTCTCTAGATACTTGCCTCATAGCTATATGTAGTTTTTTTAAAAAAAGGTTCTCACGCATGGTTGCAGATTTGGCAAGTCCCACTGAGGACAATGGGACTTCCTCCAAAATACGCATCCATAGGTTCATAGTCTAATCAGCGTCAATTTCTAGTTGAGGATCAATTACTGTACGTACTTTAACAATAAGCAGCAAGCTAAACTGGAAGTTTTACCAGAGTTTGATGCAACTATGCATATCATTTAATGAAGTTCAGACAAGTCTAAATCCAGCATATGTGTTTAAAATAAATGCTTTAGTTAGGGGAAAAAACAGGATCATAATGATACCTGGCTTTTGAAATGTGATTTGCAACACAGACTCTTATATGCATGGAGAGCAGACAGAACAGTAAAAAGTCGGCTCATATTAAGTTTGTGCAGTAAGTCATTCCTATTTTGTTGGTCAATTCCAGGCCCTGCAGAACTTTTCACCTGAGCAATTATTTGAAACATGACCACGTTTTGCTTTCCCATGTCTCTCACTAGCAAACTATGGACTGTTTTATGTTTGCACACCAAGGAGTTGACCGTACAAATTTAAGGCTTGTACTGTTTTTCTGTCTTGGTAATAATTTATCTACAGCCCAATTTTTAGACTTTTTACTCACAACCTTTGTTTGCAACAGGGCTTACTCCAAAATATGTGTGTATTAATATTGCTTAGGCTGAAAAAAACTATGGAATTTAGTAACTTCAGTCCCACTGATCAGGTAATGCAAGCAGTCTACCTCTAGGATTGAATAGGAAACTTCTGAGGAATTAGGTACTTTAAGAAATAGATGACAATTGATTTAAAGGTCTCAGGGCCATAGAAAAGTAATGGATAGTTCAGCAGCAAATAACTAAATAGTGCATACAGTACAAGTAAATCATAACATACTATCTTAAGAGTAATCTCATTGATTACAAACAATACTTTGTTTCCCAAGAGTGCTCTACAAAGCCATCAAGTCTTCCAAAGTCATAACCCTCTGAGAATTGCTGCTGTTTCAAATATTACACCATGAATCAACATAAACACACATAACATGGTTTGTCACGCCACTGAAACAAACAACACTTTCATCAAAGCACCAAGCAGCCAACCACTAGCACTTCCAGCAGGCAAATGAAAAAAGAACTGAGAAGCAGAGACCAGTTAATTATGTCTTGGTTTGATTTTTATCAGATGGGTGAGGAAGACAGCACTCCAGAGAGTTGCTTGCAAAAGGTATTTCCTTCTCACTCTTCCTGAAGAAAAACTTTGCCCAAGGCATGGGTCACTCATGGACCAGGGCAGGAGGATGTCCCATCTGTCCTGCTCATGGGCGGTTATGGCTCTAAGGTCATATTGTCCTAAAAATATTTGTGACTTTAGCCTGGATGCCTAGATCACAGCTTATGGGAAATGTTTAAATGTTAGAACTGTACCCCCCCCCCCAAAAGCTTCCCAGTTGGCATGGCCAGTGTCCTTTTTAGCGTTAGAGGATTCTGGGAACTTTAGGCCACATGAATAACCGTTTGGCTTAGAGCTAAGAACCATATCCATAAACTTTGAAGGTATGGGGGACCCAGAAAATATGTCACCAGGAAGCACATAAAATGTTGGGTGAACTATCAAAATAGTGAATATGTTTGTGTTCATTGATTAGGTATTGTTAGGATTCTATTGCTTATTTAAATTCAGATTTCTAAGTGAGAGTGCTAAGGGGTGAAAAAGATCCTGGTATCAATGTGAGAACACAATTTTCATAAGCATTCCGAATGGATGAAATGTCCATGTAGCTGGAAGTTTAACATCTAGTACTAAATACCTGAAGAACAATCAAGAATTATTTGGCATGAAATTTTATGGATTTTGGTTCCCCATCGGAGTGAAACAAGCTTTAACTTCCAAAAAACTTACACCACATGAAAGCTGTTACATCTTTCAGGCGCCATAATAATCTGTTGGTTTTGTTACAATAGCCTAACGACAGTCCCCCCCACCAAATTTGCAGCTGGGGGTTCACACTCATTTCAGTTTACATGTGTGTGCACAGTTACAGCATACGCTATTAAGGAATTTCAGACTACATTTTCCTTAAAATGCTATCTACATATTAAGTTTTCAAAAACCTCCGCCACCACCATGTAAACAAGAACTCTTTGATCCACACTTCAGTTCAGTTATTACTGGCTCCAAACAGTGAAACCGTAGGAAGAGGGTCTCAAGTGTTCAGCTCTGCGTGCCTCCAGCTGCATAATGAACCGCGCCGTGTATTTTATGTTATACGACTTCGGCAATCAGATATGGATGGCCATACCTATTGTGGTAACTGACACTGCAGTTCTAAGCACATGTACTTGGAAGTAATTCCAGTTAATTTCCAATGGAACTTGCATCTAAAGATTTCACAGGGACAGTAAAACAATACTTTTACTAAGACCCACCAGTGTTTTTCATAGAAGCAGGAATATGAGCTGCTCCAAATATACATCGTAATTAAGGATAAGTGAGTAGTTTACCGAACTTAGGGATTCTGTCATAATGGACCTGTGTAGTTATCTGATTTTTCTTTCCAAGGACTTTCTGTTAAAGCTTTAGCAAGATTAAAGGAGTGAAATTGAGAGGTAACATTGGGTGTAAGGACTGGTATGTAGAAGCAATCGGGTAAGCCTTGGCTTCCACACTTAGGACAGGAGTAGAAAGCAGTAAACAGGATTATAGACCAAGTCCACCAAATCCATGTTGGTCATAATAACAGAGTTTTGGATGCCTTGGAAACTTTGTGACAGGTAATATGCATTGCTGCATAAATGGTTATCTTTTGCTGGCCAATAACAGTATGGGCAGGTAACACACAGACAGCGCCAGTGTTTTGGTTTGTTCTTCTGCGTGGTAAGATCTATTTTGTACTGAGATGTCCCTGCTTTTTAAGAATTGCTAGCTCCACTATTTAGGTTTTTAAAGAGCTTGTTTCCTTGTGCACTGAGGACAGACCTTTGCCACCAGATGCATCAGATAAGTGTCCTCGCTGTGGGAAAGTTTATGCCACAAGGAATCAGTTAATCCTGACTTTTGCAGAAACAGCACTGGTCCTTTCTCATTTAGGGAGCCCTTGCCCGGCTCATAAACCCACGGAATGCCGAATGAAAGCCGACCACAGGTTCGATCCAGAAGTAGGAGCTGGCCCTTTCTCTCATTTTCCCCATCAATCAGCAAACCCCGGGGAAAGGGGAAAAACTGGGCAGCCTCCTAAATCCCCTTATGTTCGGTTTCCTCGAGTAGCCAGCCGCTCTCCTGGACAGCCAGCTGCGCGGAGACCGCAGGAGCTGGGCTTGCTCCATCCAGTTCGTGCCCGGGAGCCACGCAAGCGGAGGGGAAGCGCGGCCCAACCCCAAAGCGCCCTCCCCGCCGCCTGGGGCAAAGGCAACCGGGGCGGCCACCGCCCCCCTCCGCCCGCGGATGCCCCGGGCGAGGACGCGCGCCGAGGGGGGGGAGAGAGAGAGACGTGAGCCCTCCGGCCTCGCGAGGCATTCCAGGGAGCATCATGTGGAAAAATGCCAAACATACTTGTTGCATGTGCGGGGTTTCCTCCTCTCTCCTCCTCCCCCCCCATCACTTCCCTCTCTTTCCCTTCCTTAAGATTTACGCACAACGCCGAAGCTGCTGCGCAAGTTTTGGAGCACACAAAGGCTCCTTCTGAAGCCGTCTCTCTCTCTCTCTTCCCGGCGTGCGC